AAAGGGAACAGACGCTCTTATTTTAATCGGCTTTATTTTTAAATGACCTCGTTTTCCCGCAAGAATCTTGTTTATTTAGTCTGAAAGACGTTCTCCCTGAAAATAGCTTGGGAAGGTAACAGTCTGCCTGAGGGATGGATTTAATGGCTATGTAAAATAGGTTAGAAAATGAATAAAATAATGTAACCTTTGTAGAGAAGTCTCATGAATTAATATTCCTTTGGAACCGTGCACTTTGGAATTTGAAACTAACATAGAAGTCACAAACTTTCTGACATCCCCCATGTGTGCTAAATTAAATCTGCAGTTAACACAAAATCAAAATTATTTCTCATTGTGAATTAATTAGGTTCCATTGCTTGGGAAAAAAAAGACTTTTTACTTTGTTAGAGTCTTATTAAAAATCTAAACTTCTCAAATTAAATATAAAGTTATGAATTGTGAAACGGAACACCTGTGTTTTTTAATATCAGTCTTGTGCCTTCTGATAAAGCTGTGCAATGTTAGGTCCCCTGCAGGGGGCTATGAAGTTGCACAGCAGAACAGCTGGAGCCGAACTGACTGTGGCACTGTCACTGAGCGTTCTGTGGAAGTGCATTCCGTGGGGGAGAGTGGGAGGAGTTCCTGCAGACTCGAAGTGGCACTGTCGCCTATGTACACCGCCTGCAGGGTCCTCGGCATTTCTTGGGATCTGCTGAGTTTTTCCAGTGGTTGAGTCTGTTGCGGTGAAGGTAATTTGTAATCTTCGCATTTGTCTAATGGCAAGACGTGCTTCTGTTGGGACTACACGTGTGTATATATGGCTTTTATAAATAGACAGAATCCTAGCCGAGTCGGGAAGGGGTGAAAAAACGTGCATGATGATTCACTGTCTGAACTTTGTAGGGATGAAGGCTTCCCAGAAACCACCTCTTCAGCAGAACTAAGCCGGTGCCTTTCCAGTAATGTGTATCATGCCCGCTTGCAGTGTATTATCGCTAACTGCACTGAAAGCACAACCACTGACAGACCTGTGAATAGGCTGTTGCCGTGACAACTAGGTATGGGCGGAAATCAGTCCCACCTGAACATACTTAATACCTGGCTATATAAGACCTGGCCTTGAGATATGACGGTGCTCAGACTTAGTTCCTTCTTACCTGGTCTCGATCTTTTTCTAGTGTGCTGCTTTGTTTTGTCGATTGTGCCTGGCTTTTCGACTTTGCTGTGAAGATTTCCCTTTGGCCTGTTGGTCCTACTTTTCCTGTTTTTGTTTTCATTTTTGCCTTATTCATGGCTTTGCCTTTGGTACCTTTATTTATGCTTTCACAGACTTGACCTCTGCCTAATTGCTGATGTCTCCCTTCGGAGCTTGTTTGCTCTGCTCTGCTGCCCCGCCATTAAACTGTGTCCCATCTTCAGCTTCTGATTGCTACAGTTAAAGTAAGAGCATGAAATAACAAATTGCTGAACTCCCATGACCTCCTGGTTGGCCAGTCGCACAAACCTGTGTTTATCCACCTATACCTGGCATCCTGCTGCTTGGTGTGTTTTGTGCAGCTTCTAGGAACAGTGGCTGCAGCCAAAACAGTTCAGTTCTCTAGCTGGGCAATTGAATCAAGGACACAGTCGCATCACAATTAGATCTGCTTCCCGTAAAAAAGGATAAAACTTACAAAGGCAAAAAACCGGAAACTCGGCAGTGAGCTGAAATCTGGCATCATTCTCGCTCATCAAGTCAATGACTCGTAGCCCCTTGTCCCACTGCCAGTCTGCCAGGGAACATGTCAGCACCTGCCAGTCCTCTCCGATGCTGTGGGCTTTATATCTGTGCCAGCGGGATGACCTGCACGCAGCTGCTGAAAAACAGGCCTCCTTTATTAAAACCACCGCCACCCGTGAGACCCCTGATGTAGCATGTCTTGATAGGTTTGAAGTTTCGTGCTGTGATCATCAGAAAAGTACATTCCCAGCTCAGCACAGAACGGAACGGAGAACTGACATTTCTCCTTCGGCGTATTCAGTCTTTGCTTTTAGACAGTGAGGCTTCATTTGCAGGACTCCTTCTGCCAGCACGTCATATTTGGATTGGCTTTGTCAAGGTGCAATAAGCCATTTGCTTTTAGCAGCTATGAGCAAATGGAACAAATTGCCAGTGGGAGAAACCCAGCAGGAAGGCTTGCTCTGTGGGAACAGTTTGTCCAGGAACAGTTTGGATCAGGAAGCCAGTCGCACAAGAGGGAGCTCGAGGTCAGGTGACTGTTTTCGAGTTCCTGGATGTGTCGTGCCGCACCAGAGGTAGAGAGATCTGACCGAAATTTCAAAGTCATGGAGACAGGATAAATAAATCAATTATTTCCTGATTCCTGAGTCCCACATTGCTGACATGTTGTATTGCTGGCATGTGATGAGTGAGGGTGAAGGAGGAAGGCACATAATAATACGTTCTTCCACAAACATATCCCCATCCAAAGTTTGCCTTCCCACTAAAATCCTGATCAGGATAATTTGAGTCTCATATTGTCCATGTATCAGAACGTCGTGTACCTCAGGCTGATGTAGTAACAAGAAGCTTTGTGATTGGTAGGATCTGCACAGGTGGGAGGGGTATGGTGTTTGATTGGCAGGTGTGAGTTTTTGGAGAATTATTGTAGAGAGGGTTTGTGAGTTAATGAATGGTGGAGAGGAGCTGCTGTTGTTTGGTTTCGACATGCTACCTATCGATATCCTTTATAGTTTTCACCATGTCTTTCCAATCACATTTTTAAATCCTTCCCACCACCACTTCTCTAATAAAAGCAGAAAAACGTAAGGATAAAAATGCTGCTAATATCAATCAAATATTTTTAGGGAGAAAGAAAAATAACGCCACTGTGCTGGCCTGAGAGTTTTCTGAAATATTTTTGCTACTGTGTGCAGCTTCCTTCCTGCAGGGAAGCTGTTTTTTTCTCAGTGATATTTGTATGTGTGCAGAAATTGGGACACAGTAGCCCCCAATCTCCTCCCATCAGGTCCTGTGCACTTCATCAAGGGCCCCCTGCTGGCACGCATGCACACTTCACAGACAGGTTGGGAAATGAATTTCAGAGCCAAACAGTGCTGTTTTACAAAGTTCATTCACAGCATTAGGGCGAGGTTTCTCAGGGCAGGCTACCCGAGAGACAAAAGGCCATGAATCAAGATGTCAAAAAGAAATCTTTTAAAAGAGGAACGGAACTTGCTAGAGAGATTATTGCAATGGAAATCAGAGCAGCGTTCACGGAGTTGGGTGTGTGAAAAGACGCATTCAACTTTTCTCTCGCTGTCGGAGGTGCTTAGGGTGAACAGAGCTGGGCAGGCACTAGCGCCTCCTCGGATCTCTGTGAAAGTGTGTGTTTGCTCTGGTGCATTTTTAGTAACATTAGTGAGTAGACACATTAGCACACCTTGCAGTGAGCTAGCTGGTCTCCCTCCCTGGCTCGTCTCTCTCCCGCTGGCCTTATGTACACGCCATTAGGTTTGGAGGATGTTCTAGGCACTGCTCCTGTCCGTTCTTCATAGGCTGTGGTGTCATCACCTTGTTCCTTTCTGTTGTGTCCACTGTGTTCAGCCCCAGTTATGGTCTGGCTGCTGCTGGTGGCCTGTCTGGTCTGATTTAGTCGGTGATGGGCTCGCTCACACTCACACGAGTGCTGTTAGGAGCGTGCTTGCGCTGGGTGTGTCTGTTTTCAGACGTGAGGAGTTCAGTTCCTCTTTTGGGCATTGCGTGCGCCGATGTAGCCAAGCTGAAATCAGCGCTGTCACGGTTCCAAGAGGGTTATCACTGAACCTCGTTTACGACAGCTGAGCAGGTCCTGTTGCCACCCTTTCCCTGACGGTAGCTTCTGCAAACATGTCAAGATGACACGTTTGGGCTGTCAGGCATGTCAGCTCATGTCATCTGAATAAATATGCTTAATTTTCTAAGTATGAAAACATTTCAGCAGCAGCTGTCACCCAGATTTAATGTAAATAAACTTTTTAGCCATTTGGTGTATTTATATAACCCTGTCTTTATCTCCGTGTCTGGCTGTCTGTCTCTCTGTCTCTTAGATCTGATGAAAACTGACATGCGGATTCCCAGGGCACAATCCTACTTCTGCGAATCAGGATGAGGTTTTTTTCCTCTTCCCAAAATGTTGGCAAAAATTAAATTTAATAATGGACGAGGCTCCATGCTGCGGACTTCATTTCTGCCTCTTAATAATTAATATAATCTTAGAAGAGGCATTAGCAGACTAGCACCTCAGTAAGGACTGGAACATTACCAAATGGAATTATAAAAAGGATGTAAAATAAATTAATAAAGTAACCTAATGAATCACGATGGATTCTGTGCTTGCAGACAGTCATCTTCCTTTGTCTGGAAGGTTTGTTTGTCATTTTCTCTGCTGTCTGTGCACTTTCACTTAAAAGCTCAGAAAGGTGCCTATAAAGAAACTTTAAGCACTTCGACTCTTCTATCAGCTCCAGCAGCAGGTTTAATATGCTGTGGAATCATGTTTTTTAACAGCCTGAAGCGGGTTTTAGGAAGGTTTGTAAAAACGTACATTTGGTGCAGAGTTCAAATATGCACAGTTTTTGCATGGTTCAGATAGCATCACCCAGTTTAAACCGTGGACTCTGGACTGGCTCTTGCTATTAGAGTTTTGTGCGCTTTTTGCACTATTCTTGCATTCTAAACCCTTGTTTTTAGTTGTGTTAATTTTGTGTTAGTTGTGTTAATTCTCTTCTCCTTGTTATCTTGCTGTAAAGTGCTTGAGAAGTCACTTTTAAAGGCGTTACATATAAAAATAAAGCTCGTTATTGTGATGTACTGATCTGACTGGTGACCTGGGGTAAAAGCCTGACTTTTCCGTGAGCGGGAGTGAAAATCGGGGGGAGATCCCGCAGCCCCATCTTTCCCCACAGTTCCTCCCAGCAGTACGAGGAGCTGTGGAGTTTGCTCCTGGTGGTGGTGGTGGCCGGTGCTGAGAGCTCTGTGCCTGTGTGTTTTCCGGCAGGTTGCGGAGATGCACGGCGAACTCATCGAGTTCAACGAGAGGCTCTACCGCTCTCTGATGGCCAAGGACAACCTCATCTCCCAGATGAGGCAGGAGCTGATCGACCTCCGGGGCCCGGTGAGTACCCACTCTGCATCTGGGCACCCCGTGCCTGGCACAGCACAGACTCCCGCTCTCTCTTATCCAGGCTCAGTCATTCCTGTGGTGAATTGTGCATAATCCCTTCTAATGTGTTCTTCTTAAGAGTTTCATTCCTTTAGTTTAAGTGAGTTGAAGTCAGGAGGCAGGGTAAGGAAGAAGAATCCACATTTAAGCTTTATGTTGTTTAATTCTTAAAGGTGTTTGAGGCTGACACCTCCTCCTTGTCCTCTTCACAGCCCCTGGTGCAGATTTTCCAGCGTAGGCGAACTGGGGGGCAAAGTCCCTAATCCCTTTACGATATCAACACCATTGGACTACAGTGCACAATAAGGGCCAGTCTGTGCTAAAGGGGGTGCAGTGGTTCTGTGGAATATTTCCTCCAGCACTAGGAATCTGTGACTGTGCTGCACCCAAATTTGCAGAAAAGTCAATTGCACGCTTCTCACTTTGTTGCTGGTTCTGCCTTTATCTCTGCCTTGTTATCTCTGCCCCTCGCCATCCTGCTTTGCTGGGCTGAGTATATCCTGCACAGAGCTGATATGCTATTATCCCATGCTTAGGTGTGTGTCCCAGTGGCCTGGTAGCAGTTTTATCTCTTTCGGTGGCATGGGGGGGGGGGTTTCCCAGCATTCTTCCTCACAGGTGCGGGCTTTGATGTGGGTTCTGGGGCTGGACTCTAGCTTGGGGTCTGTTAGCGGTTGTAATGGGGCCTTGGCGTATCTGGCAGGTACAGTGGATGGACTGCCCCCTGCGATTCAGGAGGCAGGTGCTCTGCAGGTGTTCTGCAGCGCTCAGATACATCTGCCAAGAGATTATAGCAAGTGAATGTGCTCTGCAAAGGTTTTGACAGGTTTGAAGAAAGAAAAAGTATGAAGGGTTTTTTTTTTTTTAAAGACAGATGAAATTGAATCTCCTGATATGTCCCTTCTGTGTCATTGCTTTTATTTTTTTATCACATAAAGGATTAACAGCACCGCAGTCTCGTGGATATCACAGAGAATATAGCAGAAGAATTTGAATTATTATTACAGAGGTGCCAAATGGGACCCTCAGAATGGTGACCTGGGACCGTGCTCGCTGCCATAGGATGAGACATTTAGCTCAAGTCCTGCAAGTTTGGTCTTTTTCAGATCCTGTGGTACTGTTCTGTAGCATGTAGTACTGTTGTGCTGTGCAGTGGGACTGCTGGTGCTTCCGCCAGGAGAGGATGAGGAGGATCTCCTCCTGTGTCTGAAGCGCTTTGGCTAGAAAAATCTCTACATTCCAAACAATTTATGGTCTTTGTCCTTCTCCTTGTTCTGCTTCCGAATCTCTTATATCTGCGATAGTCTGTCCGCTGTATTTATTGTATGTTTAACCTTACATACGCTGCCTTCCAGGACTCCGGTTCTAGACTCTCAAATTTGTTTCTTCCAATACCGAATCACGAGGCCGCATTGTCAGACTGGGCGGCTGGTCACCGTGGTGTACCTGGGTAGAACACACTGCCCCCTCCGCAGTAACCCAAGACATAAAGATACTTCAAAACGGTTGAAGGTCCACCTGCCCTCTCGCCATCCCACACCAGATGCTGACATTCTCTGTAATGCTGGTTAAAGACTAAAAATCTCAGCAGCTGGAAAGGCGGAATTCAAGAGCCCGATAGTGTCAGGACGAGAAAGGGCTGCCACACCCTGTAGAATTAATCACCAGAGCCAGTAAGGGAAAACCTCATACAGTACAAGCCTCTGATGTTATTTCTCATATTGGGGACCATGATGTCCATTGACAGTGATTAGACCTCTCTCTCATAAACAATTGATCAGTCCACTGTAACTTTTGCTTATAAATGTCAAAATGCCTTCATAAGAGGCTGTGAAAGTGCCAGGCTGTCGGAGGTGAACACAGCTGCATTGCGGTAAAGTTATTTATTAAAACCCATATAGATTGGATGTATTTATATAGTGAGGAGCAACGCGCTGTTAAAGCTCAGGTGAAGACATGAATTGGGATGTTTCGTTCAAGACCCGCATCACGATCTTCTTGCAGTAGTAGCACAGTGTACTGCTTACTTCTTATAACTGGGTAAACAGGAACGAATAGAAAATCAAAGCAAAAGGCTTTATATATCCCTGGATACTCAACCTTGCACAGGTGACCACAGCTGGACTGTCCACCTGCTGTCTGTTCTCTCCTGTTCCGCTTGCAGTTTAAACTGTGATGGCTGGTGTGTGCTCAGGTCTCCTAGCCTACTGCAGTGGTCATTCTGCTGCAGCATGATGTTCTCCCAGCCATGGAAAGCATGATCAAACTTCTGCGTTATCTGCTTTTGCAGCATGTGATGTATCAGGATGGGTATGTGCAACCCAAATTGTGTTCTATTTTAATAGAATATTTATAGTGTCAGCTGTATCAAAGGCAGTTGACTTAAGCAGTGATTTTGTTTGGGATTTTAACAGTGTTAATAGCAAAGACTAAAACAAGACAGTTGGGAATCAAAGGTCTTTTGCAGACAAATAATTGAATGTGTTGGCTTAATTAATCATTTTGCACTTATTTGTAATCACTAAGAAATGTGATTTTTTTGCGGTGCACCTTGGTTCCTTGAAAATGAACATTATTGTGATAAAACAATGGCAATGAAATGAATGCACTATAGTTCTCCAAAGGGAATGTTAGTAATAAAAGTACATTTACTAGTCATCAGATATACTTCCACTGTTCTGCACACTGCCTCTAAAGTGATGACACCTAGGGTATTCATTAATGTCTGAAAACTTGAAAGCATCCATTAATGATGCATTCTTTCAGTGTGCCAGCTCCAGTTTTAATTATGTATAAGATAAGATCACTTTATTGGCCATATACAATTTCCTTGTATTAGGAATTTGTCTTTTTGAACTTTCGCAATCCCAACTTCCTCTCCCTAAGACACACAGACAGGGAGAGAAGCTGGGATTGCGAAAGTTCAAAAAGACAAATTCCTAATACAAGGAAATTGCGCAGTGTCAGCCATCTATACGGCGCCCCTGGAGCAGCTGGGGTGAAGGGCCTTGCTCAGGGGCCCAACGGAGTAG